CATGGAGGATGCTTTTGGATTACAGCAAAAGAAAATGACAGAGACTGCAGAGAAGGTGGATGACATTGCAAAGAAATGTCTGGCATCAGCAGAAGAAGTACAGAATGTTAAGAAGAAAGTCTTGAAAGTTGAAAAGCATCAAGAAAGACAAGATAATAAAGTGTTAATGCTTCAGATGGAAAAATCAAACCTAATTCTCCGTTTCCAGGGATTGAGAGAGGAAGAGGATGAGGACCTTAGAGACATTTTGGCAAGCGCACTGGCACCACTGATTGGCAACGAAGCGGAAAAAATAAAAGAAGAGATGGATTTGGCCTATCGGGCCTACTCCAATTTCACAAGAAAAAACAAGTTGCCAGCAGAAGTGGTGGTAAAATTCTCAAAACAGCGTCTCAAGGACCAGATTTTAAAGGTTACATCAGCTTCACCCCTGAAAATTGGTGATCAACAGATTAAGATTTTGAAAGATGTTCCATTTGAAATTAGAATGAAAAGAAAGGAATACAAAGGGCTGACTACTTTCTTACAAAAACACCAAACGAATTACAAATGGTTGGTGCCCGAAGGACTGGTTTTCAAGTTCAAGGATAAAAGAGAAAAAATAGATTCCATCTTCAAAGCTCAAGACTTCTTGAAAAAGCACGCCAGTAAAGAAGAAGGTGCAGAACTAGCCAAATGGATGTCGACATTAAGTGTAGAAGACAGCAGCTCGGAGGGAGAGGTGAAGGACGAAGAAGAAAGAGGAGCGACGAGTTCAAAATACAACTTGAGAGGGGAAAATGGGAAGAATCCCAAAGTTTAAAAGTTGTTTATCTTTTTCGCTTTTTAATGGACTTTTTTTTTTTTTGGAAGAGAAAATTGATACCAGAAGGACAATACTAATATACTAATTGCCTTGTTTAAAAATAATAGAAGAAAAGAAGAAGCTTCGATGATGGAAGAAACTATGGATGCTCTGATTTGACTTTAAAAAGTTTAATAAATTAACATAATACTAACACCACTCACTTCTTTTCTTTGTCCCTCTGTATACCCTTCCTTATTTCTAATTTTAAGTGAAATATCTCCCCTCTTTAGGGGAGCAAATAAAGCATTTTTAAAAAAGAAAGAAATTAAATCAAGAGTTTTCAGCTAAACATCGTTCTCCATTTGATTCCCCTTCTACTTGTGCTCTGTTTTGGCTGCCTTCCTACTTGCTGTTTATTCCCCGTACTTTCAGCCATTTCCACCACTCACTTGCCTCCTATCCCATATCTGATTTTCCCCCTGCCCTCTCTTGATCTGACTTCCCTTCTTGGTGCTTACTGGTTCTTGGCACCATTTTGGGTTAATTAGACAACCCCAAAATGCCTTTCGGTTGTGTATGTTATGCTTTCAAACATGTTTTTTAACCTCCAGTTCTTTTTAAACTTTTGGTATTTCTTGCTGTGATGATCTGGGCTGTGCCACCAGAGGCCTACTAAGCCCAGGGAGCCTGGCTAGCAGTAAGGGAGGCTGGGCCTACTAACCCCAGAAGGCCTTGGGAAGTTTTGGCGCCAATTTTGACCAATAGGGAAGATAAGGGCTGGGGAATATAAGAACTGGTACAAGAGGAAAAGCTGTTCTTCTTCCCAGGAGGGCAGAGCCAGAAGGAAGGCTGCTGCAGGGAAGAGACCCTCATCCTGAGGGAAGGGTGAGTAGTCTAAGGCCACTTGAGATAGTGAGCTAGGGACAGTATATATTTAGACGTGTTAGGGCATTTGATTTCTTTTCACCCACTTACTGTTATTATTCTGCACCTTGTTTGTTTGACCTCCTGTAAAATAAACTATTTTCATTGTTCACTCTGCCTGGTCCTCACGCCTATTATTCGGCCAAAAGGGAGGTCTAAAGGCCTGGGTGGGTGCTCTGGGCCTTCTCAGAGGAGCCTGGAACCAGAGTGGTGGCAGCGTCAGGTGACACCCACCCCACCTGAGCCGTGACACTTGCAAACATAGCATTTCCTTCAGTTTGGCAGAAACATGAAGCTTAGCCCAATGTGGCCTGCTCTTATGGATTTTTTGATCCATGCCAGGGGCCATACTTGTCTATTAGACAAAACAAGTGGAGACCCGCAAGAAACTTGCGGAATGGTTATCCTGTTCCTCACACCTTTGCTTCCTCCTCTCTCCCTCTACCTCTCTCACACTCTTTTTCCCTTCTGCCCCCCC